TCTACAATTCTCCTTAAACTGAATAATTCCTGAATACGGCATTTTGTACAAATTTTTGCTTGCTGCGGTCTGCTTTTGTTCTGACCCAGCGCAATATTGTGTTATTCTACCCTTATCGTTATCAATAAAGGCAAAATTGTCCTTGTCTAATTGAACGACAAAATTATCGGGTACACTTGAAGGAATCAAGGGGCATTTTGATTTGATAGTTGATTCTAAATCGCCACCTTGAATTGCTTGCAAACAGGGATCAGCTACACAAACTGGGGGCTGTCTAAATCGACATATCCCGCAATCTGCATGACCAATTTGAGGTAAGCAAATAGGTAATTCTTCATAATTTAAAGCGAAAAACTTGGATTTCTGGGACAACGAATATGGCTGAGTAACATTTACCTTCATCCACTTGGGAGTTCCCATGTAGGTATCTTCAGCAATGGGAATATTATGCACTCTGGCCAGTTTGTATCGATCACTGTTCCGTAAAATTGGGACGATAATAGTTACTGGATAAAAACAAAGTTCTCTTTCTATTCCTTCGTTGTCACAATTTTCAGATGTTCCGAGAGACAAAGAATGGGAACGCAAAATTGACAATAACTTGTGCGGTTGAAGTTGACTAATGGAAGGTTTGTTTTCGGCATCTATTAACTTGACAGGGGACTTTTCTAGATCTTTGTTAGAGATTAGAGTACTGGGAAATTGAAACCAATGTAACAAATTGATATCTTTGATCAAGAAAATGATGACTTCAGACACCTGGGTCAGCTCAAGACTCAAACTGAGAGATCTGATCCAGTGATCAATGTTATCATCATTTGTTGCATTAAGACTTTGAGCTCAAGTCAAGGTAGAATCAAATAAGTTATTACCTTGGATTCTGAAAGGGGAAGCAAGAGAGATGAGTATTCTCTTGGAGGGAATGACGTTTTGCGTCAATTCCACTTTTCTTTGGGATATTAATGGTAACAAATCCAGATAAGAAAAATCTCTAGGGAAATTTTTTGCATGTCCCTTTAGTTGCTGTTTCAGGTTTTTTATGAGGCTGCCGAAATGCAAACTTTTTGTTTTTAACATGTCTACCCAGTGGATAATTTGGGCGTCGGATTTTTTGAAATGCATGGAATGCATCAGGTGATGCTCCAAATGATGCATCGATGCGATGCTTTTCAAAATCCTGGACGCTTTTCATGTTTTTCTCACATTTGACTGACCAGTTGAATGGTCAAATGATGTGTCAGAACGTATTTATACTTGCCCCATCGAAGAATTATTATTCTCGACCGTCAGAGAGTCCGTCAGCTGACGGGTCGAGTTTGTTGATGGAACTGCATGCGTTACAGAACTTGACTGAGTGTGCATCTGTTGACGCATTGGTCAACGCATGCTCAAAATGAAATGATGATGCATCAAAACCTTGGAATTGCACACCATCTCTCAATGGGGCTTCCAACGATTTATCATAATTTTTGAGTGATGCATCAAAGAAGAGGGAAATAGGTGCACATCAACTGATGTATCACCTGATGGATTCGCAGAATTGTAGACTGATGCATCATCACAGAAGTTTACATGTGGTAGCATCGGATGACATGTCGGGTGATGTACTGTCAATTTTTGACTATAATGATGCTGATAAGATGCTCAAATAAAATAATTTATGTATGATGATGGAGGTGCTGCAAATGTCCGTTTTGAGCATCATTATTATATATTCAAAAATACATTCAAAAAGTATATACACGTACTTTATACAAAACGTGAAATTATGCTGTCAATATAATTATGCAAGTTGAACTGATGAGTTACAGTTACAGATTCTTAAACATAACGCCGTCACGTACAGATTGGTGGCAGTGACGTTTTTTTCTACGTTACTGCGTTACGTACAGATTGGTGGCAGTTGAGTATTTTCATACATGACAGTGTAATTCAGTGAACCGTATCTTACCGGTACTGCGTATAGTGCAACTCTGTACGTGATTTCAATTATTTCACTATAATTTCTGATATATATAGGAATATATATATCAAAACATGTATACATACTTTTATGCAAAACACCAGTACAACACTGTAATAATTGCTATTGTAAAAATGAACAGTTCTCTGACTTTAATTTTTTCAAATGGGGAATTATATCTTTTTTTTAGGGAATAATAACAATAAATGTGTACGGAAATAAAAATTATAACTACCTCAATGGGACCACTTTATTAGGGACCTTACTTCACAAACGTTTCACGTGTCTCCACATAGATATCACTTGAAGTAGAATGCTATTCATATATTAAAACGAGAAGGAATGTTAAACGAATGTTTCGTATCAATTAAAATTTGTGACTAAGTCGAAGTCATGTATTTCGGTTTGAATTACTGTGCAAACATCATATATATACATAGGACCATTGATTAATGAACAAATAAGCATTCATGTCCTTGACTATACAGACTCCGTGGGTGCAACATTCCAGGAAATTAAGTTTTAGGTTTTATGCATCCATAGGTAGATGTCACTTGCATGACTTTAACATCATTTTTCACATCAGATACGTTAATTGGTTAGACTCACTTGCTCTGTACAAAGCAATTGTAAGCTTAACTTTTGTCATAACTGTGAAAAAAATAGGGATGCCAAATTCTTGGGGTATAATCATCATTATAAGCTCAACAATAACATGTTAGAAACAAAGCATTACGAACAAAGCAAGATGCATGCAGTTTTGAATTTTGTGATTCATCTTCCGCATTGCCCGACTTTATGTATGCACGTGCTGATGAACGTGTTTTGAACGTTTTTATAGTGTTACGCATAAGTTGTCATGTACATGTCCTGTTCATGTGGCTCTGTGATTTATTTTCATGTGCATATGGAAGCCTCCGCTCAATTTCAAACACATGTGGTAAACACAAACAGTGCTCCTTATTCCGCTAAAACGGAATATCTTTTGTGTGTATATTACTTATATGTGATGATGACTTTATCTGCGTGATATTGAGTATGTCCTCTATCAAAAAGTGAATCGAACTTCCAATTGCTGGTAAAAAGAGACAATTTTCTCCAACTCTTTAGTAACTTCGAAAGTCGCCCTTTGATATAATTTGCACATACATATGAATTTAGGTCATGTATCCTGAGGAAGGTGAGGATACTAACGAGGGAGAAATTACAATGCTTGGATTTGGATAATTGTTATTTTTGTGGTTGCCCGGTATAGATATGTTGTATGCTTTGATATGTATGGATGAGGATGACAGCCAGCGGGTTCATACATATATTGATTGGCCTGCTTGTGTATTCTGTATTTAGTCAAAAGTAGTTTTCTGTGCAGTGAAATGGAATTTGTAAGCTTTCAAGTATATTGTGTACTACGGTGTGTTTTTTGTAAAGAAAAGTGATATTCAAAACTGTTTTCCCTCATATGATGTGTATTTATGATCAACCACTCATATGCTGTGTATTTATGATCAACCGCCAGCAGCACTTCAGTTCCGTTCTGCCAACGGACTCTGTTCTGTACCGGAATCTAACGGTGACCGGACATTATGGTACAGTTTCAAACTCAACGCAACTCACTTCCGCGCTGCCCCCCTAAATGGCTGTTCCTTCCAGTCCCTCCCTCAGCGCCACAAATCAGTGACTTCATGAACTGCGTATGCTTGCAGATAGGAATAACATGTTGTGGAATGGTGTAGAAAGATAGCATACTATTCAATACATGAACTTGCAGCATTCTTAATGTTTTATTGTTATTTTATGAGAAGTGTTTAGTGGTTGCCAAAAGTGGTAAACAAATTCCAAGGTATTCCATTACTACTGCTGATTTTTGTTAAAAGAGGTTGAGAAATCATTGAAGCTTTCAGCGGGAAACTATATTAAACGTGTATGTATACTTAAATCCAGTACATAGGACTCCTTCCACTCCTATGATTGCTCCCTCTTTAATGTTACGAATGATTTGGATAATTGTTATTTTTGTGGTTGCCCGGTATAGATATGTTGTATGCTTTGATATGTATGTATGCGGACGACAGCCCACTGGTTTATACATATATATTGATTTCCCTGCTTGTGTATTCTGTATTTAGTCAAAAGTAGTTTTCTGTGCAGTGAAATGGAATTCGTAAGCTTTCAAGTATATTGTGTACTACGGTGTGTTTTTTGTAAAGAAAAGTGATATTCAAAACTGTTTTTGCTCATATGATGTGTATTTATGATCAACCGCTCATATGCTGTGTATTTATGATCAACCGCCAGCAGCACTTCAGTTCCGTTCGGCCAACGGACTCTGTTCTGTACCGGAATCTAACGGTGACCGGACATTATGGTACAGTTTCAAACTCAACGCAACTCACTTCCGCGCTGCTCCCCTAAATGGCTGTTCCTTCCAGTCCCTCCCTCAGTACCACAAATCAGTGACTTCATGAACTGCGTATGCTTGCAGATAGGAATAACATGTTGTGGAATGGTGTAGGAACATAGCATACTATTCAATACATGAACTTGCAGCATTCTTAATGTTTTATTGTTATTTTATGAGAAGTGTTTAGTGGTTGCCAAAAGTGGTAAACAAATTCCAAGGTATTCCATTACTACTGCTGATTTGTGCAAATGACTTCCAAACATGACCAGAAAATACTTTAATTATTGTTATCTGATTTTGGGAGGCGGTTGGGTGAAGTTAGGTTAGGTCAGGTTATGTTAGTTACAAATATCTTTCAATTAACATAACCTGACCTAACCAAACTTTACCTAACTGCCTCCCAAATATCAAATATCTTTTAAATAACATAACCTGACCTAACCTAACTTTACCTAACTGCCTCCCAAATATCATATATCTCTTAATTAACATAACCTGACCTAACCTAACTTTACATAACCGCCTCCCAACATCAGTTTCAGCAGATTGCAGAAAAATAAAATTCACAGTTTCTGGTAGGTCAGTGTGATTATGAACTTGTCCTAAGATTTGTCTGGATGTTAGTGTGGTATAGGAATGAGGTACAGAGATAACAGGAAAGTACCATATATTTTCAGTTATTTAAGAAAGGTGTTGTATATGTGCACTATGTTATTTGTCCCTTGGAATCTCCGCTTACGTTTTACACCACTAAAGCATTACAGTTGAAGTCACTCAATGAGAAGCTGGCGCTCCTAGGGGAGGCGTGGAAGAGGTAGCGCTGAATTGAGCTTTGTTGAGTGGAAGTTGTACCATAACGTTGTGTCTCGTAACAGATTGTTGGCAGTGACCTTTTTTTGTAAGTAACTGCGTTACGTACAGATTGGTGGCAGTTACGTATTTTCATACGTAACAGCGTTATGTACAGATTGGTGGCAGTTGGCGTAACGAAACTGGAGTGGCGGTTTATTGCAAAATCTTTAATGCGTTTTCTTTCATTACTTTGTTATATTTATTAATATCATAAGTGGACCCTTCTTCATGTGCTGTATATTCACTTCTTTCAGAGAAAATGTCTACAAAGAAAATAGTGATAATTATGGATACCGTTGAACTCTGTCCAGTTTTTGACATTGGGCTGGCAGAGTATAAGAGATTTTGACATTTCCTTGATGACCTATTCAAGGAGAAGAATTGTTGGTTGTCGGGTATAATCAAGTTAAAATGCAAACCTGACTTGATTAACGCACTCAATCCTTGCAGTGAAGGACGAGTTACTTGGGCAGAAGGTGACGATGACGACACATCAATTTGGTTGTCACTCAAGAAAGAAAAGATCCTGAGTGTAAATAGGCAATCACTCCAAAAAATTAACAGGAGTGGAATTTATCACGTGCACACAACTCCTGAAGCCCCAGATGCGGATGAAGACAGTGTTCTTAAGTACTTTCAGCAAACCCGTGAGAAGGGTTTGATGCATCCAGATGCTCTTGGAGGAAGTTCTTGCACACTTCCGCATCCCCCAACAATTGCAGCAGCTTCTGCTGAAGGCGAGTGCTGTAAACCAAGGGATGAAGAAGCAGAGAGGATAGCTGGAGAAGCAGCTCAGAAGGCATTTTGGTCTGCCCTGAGATCTCTTCAAATGAACGAGACAACGGAGCAAAAGACTTACGTCACGGAATTAACAATGAAAGTGGACGAGATCAGACTCCACAAAATCAAGAAATGTGGTGGAAGGCCAAATGATGTGAGTGCTGGGTTTTTATGTTTCATTTTTGCACAATCACAGAATCTTTGAGTATAACTATTCTTAAACAGACTACATTTCTTATACACAAAACACAGAATCTTTGAATATAACTTTTCTTATCCTTGCATGATAAAATTTAATTTCATACAATAATTTTCCTTTCTCTTTTCCCATATCACACTAATGTTGAATAAAAAAAAACAATGATATCATTTGTATACACTTGCGTGTAATATACAAGGTTTCAAGATACAAGTTGTAATACAACCTTCAAGACAAATTGTTTTTCAGGAAAGAGGTTAGGTTTGTCTTGAGATTTTTAGTGGGTGTTTGCGACAGCCGGGCCATTTTTTTCGCGCTTTCCATGAGGGGTGGAATGACCCTATAGTTCCCAAGAAAATGTAGATGTCCCCCTGCTGATAAGGGGGGTGCCAACTTCGGTGATTGTTTTTATCCACATTCCAGGGCTCCTTTTCTTTTCTGTTTTGTCAATTTGTCTTCATTTCGTAGCCACCCCACTTCTGGATATTTTCTTTTCTTATCTCTTGTTTGTTTCGGCAATCTGCTGGGGATGCATGGAATAAATTACATTTTCAGCTTCCTATATTGGCGCCCTAGCCCTACTCACTTCTTGTATATCCCATTTCTGCATGGGGATTTTCTTTTGTATTGCCAGTGTTTTCACGCTTTTTCATTCAGAAATGCACGGATTGAGTTGCGAGTTGGCTTGTTTGTTTTGGCTCCAATTTTCAAAGTGAGCCGTCAGAAAAATGTCATACAACATGATGAAAATTTCATTGATCATTTTTTCTTGTATAAAAACATTTTTATGCTTAAAGGAACCTTTATGGAGCATGCTCTGAATTCAAAAATGTTTGGTTCAATGTATGAGATCATATAATACTGGCATGATACAATTTTATTTTATACAATACTCTTCCCTTCCATTTTCCCATCATAACCACGGAAC